TTTCATCAATTCTAGAAAATTCTAAGCCATTATCTTTTAAAGTATCTTTTATTAAAACTTTACTATCTCCATGAAGAAACCTGGTTAGATGTAAATTAATCCTTTTGACTCTAATTTCTATCTTAACCTCTTTCACAAAGAGATGTCTTTCAGTGCTATGTTCTGAGTTATTTTTTCAAATCTTTCTTCCAGTTTACTGATTCTCTCTTTAGTTCTACATAATATACTGTTTAACCTATCCACTGAATGTTTTCTTTTATAGCACATATAAAAGTTTAAATGTGTTTAAATTTTGTATTGTTAATTATAGTAAACATACAGAAAAGTATGTAAAACACAAGCATATAGCTTAACAAAGTGTGACAAAAGCTTGTGTAATAGCATTAAGTGAGGAAATAGAATACTGCCAGTCACCTAGAAGCCTTGGCATGATCCTTTGCAATCATACCCTCTCCCTCCCTCAGTAGTAACCACAATCTAGACTTCTATGGCATTCTTTTTATTGCATTTGTTTTACTACCTAAATATGTGTCTCTAAACATATAATTTAATCTTGCTGTTTTTCAACTTTATATAATGGAATTATTCAGTGGTATTCTGTTGTGTTTGATTTCTTTTGGCTTAATATTATGTTCTGCAGATTAATCTGTTATATCCCTGTATCTATGATTCATTAATTTTCAATGCTGATAGTACTCCCTTGCATGAATATACCTCAATTTCTTTATCATTTCTGCCATTGATGGGCATTTAATTTGTTGCCAGTTTGGCATTTTCCAAAATGTATTCTAGTGCACATAGCAAGTATTTCTGTGGGGTATATATGTAGAAGCAAAATTGTCAGATTTATTGGATATTACCAACACTTTTCCCACTGTGACTGCACCCTTTTACCTTTCCACCAGCAATGTAAAAAAGGCCTTGTTGATCCTCACTAACACTTAGTATTGTCAGACTTCAACATTTTTGCTAGTGAGGTAGGTGTATAACATCATTCGCTGTGGTCTTATTTTGCATTTCACTGATTACCAGTGAGGATGAACCTATGTTTTTATGTTTATTGGAGATTTAGATATTCTTTTTCAAGTGGTACTTTGTCCAGTCTTTTGCCAACTTTTCTGCTTGGTCTTTTCCTTTGTCTTAATGATTTGGAGTACTTCTTTACATACTCTGGTCTCAGGAGTTTTGTCATTCATCATCTTTCACTCAGGGGTTTGCTTTTCAAACTATTAATAGTGTCTTTTTATAAACTAAATTTCTTAATTGTAATGTAGTTAAACTTATTAATCCTTCCTACTATGTCTAGTGCCTACTGGGTCCTTTTTAAGAAATATTTATCTACCTGGAAGACACTCTCCTAGATTGTCTGCTCAAATATTTATTGTTTTGTTTTTCACTTTTAGGTTTATAATCTACCTAGTATTAATTTTGGGGAATAGGGTGAGATAAAGATCCAAGTTTTTTTTCACTTCTTCACATAGATATCGTAGCACCATTTGATGCAAAGCTGGCCTTTCTCCAGTGCTCTGCAGTATCCCATTTATGTTTTTTTCTGAAATTTCTAATATTTTCCATTGGTCTATTTGTCTGTCCTTGTGCCAATACTATGCTTTCTTAGTTGCCACTTGTGATGGTTAATATTATGTGTCAACTTGGCTGGGTCACAGTGCCCAGATATTTGCTTGAGCAAACATCTATTATTCTGAATGTTTCTTCAATGGTATTTGGGGGATGAAATTAACTTTTAAATTGCTGGACTTAGAGTAAAGCATATTGCTGTCCACGATGTGGGTTCTCATCTAATTAGCTGAAGGCCTTCATAAGACAAGAAGGAATTTTGCCAGCAAACTGTCTTCAGATTCGAACGGCAACTCTTCCCTGGATTTCCAGCCTGTTGGGCTACCTTGCAGATTTTGTGCTTACCAAATTCATAGCCGCATGAGCCAATTCCTTACAAATAAAGCTCTCTGTACATATACACATCCTGTTGGTTCTGTCTGAAAAACTCTTGCTAATGCACCATAATATTATAATGTTTTGATAGCTAGTAAATCACATCAAACCACTTTTTTTTTTTAAAAAAAAGAATGCCCCAATTAATCTGGTCCTTTGCATTTCCATATATTTAGGTCTTCTTCATTTTTCTTCAGCAACACTTTGTGTTTTTCAGTGGTAAAGGTCTTGCACAGCTTTCCTCCCTGAGAACGTCCACAGCCCCTCTAATGGTCTATTGTAGTCTCAGCACCAGACAGTGGGCTCCCTGAGGGTGGAAATGCAGACTTTTCCCCTCTTCCTAACCCCCCACCCCTGCACTAAACACAGACTTGCCCAGGCTAGCTGCATGACAAATATTTCTTGCATAATTTAATTAATTGTAATGTAAACATCCAGCCTAAGAGAAAACTTACGAGTTTATTTGAGCCAAACTGTCAACAATTGCCAGGAAGCAAAATCTCAACGGATTGAGAAAATGCTCCGAAGAATGGCAGTTTTACAGCTTATTTTATACATAAAATCAAAGGAGGAAGGTTACATGAAATCCATTGGTGATAGGTTAAGTGGGTGGGAGAAAGCAAAGCAGGGAAATCTCTGGGGTTGGATGAAAGTAAATTGGAGAGACAGGCACTTCTTTTCCATAGGTGGGTGCAGGATAGCTAACAGTTAGCTTTTTACAGCACATAGAGACAAGCATAATAATGAGGAATTTTGCAGTTTTCAGCTCTGGTCCTGAAAAAGGATTAAAGATGTTATCTTAGGTACAGAAAGACAACAGCCCCACTGAAAAGGCGCAGATTAACTTATTGAGGAAGCTGAAGATGTGACTTCACACCATGGCCCACTTAGTTAAATATTTGTGTGTGTGTGTGTGTTCACACCATCTTAATTTTAGTCCCCTAAGCTTGTCAGGTTTAACCTGTGGCCCCTTTTCCATCCACACTATCATTCTTACAGAGGGTGACTGTTTTTAGTGGTCTGCCAAAAGATTAGTAATGCGGCTGTGAGTCATCAGGCATTTATTGAACACCCATCACAGTTCAGAATGCATACGGAGCACTTCTTTTCTATTTTGTTATCTAGTTGTTATCAGCACCTCCATGAGCTGAGAGAGCAACTCTGGGGTCTCCCCAGCACCAGGAGCATACTGCGGTGAAGCTGGCACACAGTGGGCAGTTGTGCTCCTCTACCTCAGTGTAACTTCAGGGGGAAGGCAAGCTGGCCCTGAGGGTCCCCTACCAGAGCTGTAGCTCAGAATTCTTGTGTCTGCAGTACCACATGGGTCTCAGCTTCTCCCTCCATCCAGGCCTGTCCCCCAGACCCCATCATTTCCTTCTGGCCTCTCCCTTGTTCTTTTTGCAGGAAACGCAATTTGCATCTTGATGGAGATGAATAATTAGAACCCTCCAGCATGAATAATGCTAAGCAAGTTCATTTTCATGCCAATCAGGGAAAATTAATTGGCTTCATGATGTTTTATATTTTCCAGGTGGGGTTCCCCAGGCGCGCCTCCCTCCCCCTTCCCAGCCTTGGGCTCTTCTTCCCTAGTACTTCCGAGAAAATTGCTTGTTAGTTTTATTGTTTGTTTGTTTGTTTGGTTTTAATGCTTCCACGGGCAACAATGCTACCCCTACTTGCAACTAAATGACCCATTTAACAAGCATGATAAAAAACTCTTTAGAGCCCGCTACTGGCTGAGTCAAATCCACCTGGTCTTTTACAGCCCAATGTCTTTTTTAACCTTTTTATTTTCTTTTGTGGAATGCAAAAACATACAAAGAAGCACATACAAGATATAAATATGCAGCCTAATGTATTATCATAAAGTGAATACTCATAAATATCTTCTCCCATTTTGTGGCTTATACTGTCTCCCTCTTAATAATATCTTTTGATGAAAGAAGTTCTTAATAGTTCTTAATTTTAATGTAGTCAACTATATCAATCTTTCCCTTTATCACCTGATTAAAAATTTATTCTAAAATGAAGTGTTTATACGGTATTTTTATGAGAAAACTATAGTTCTTTCTCATTTTCTCCAAAATGAAAATAGCTTTATTCTTTCTAATAATAAAAATAATAGGTGATCTTATTGCTCACAATAACTATTTAAAAGTAGGTTGCAAAACATTATGACACTTTACACTTAGTTATTTCAGATGAAAGATAATACCATCATCACACCTAAGAAAACAACAAATCTCTAATACTGTTGGATATCCAGTACTTATTTACACATTTCCCTAATTATCCCCAAAATGTCTTTGATATGTGCAGAAGTATCAGTTTGCCTCTCCTTAAATTGCATATTAATGTATATTTTATATACTCTTGTGTTTCTTTCACTCATCATTATATTTGAGTGATTCACTCATTGTTGTGAGGGGCTATAGTTCATTTTTGTTCACCACCATGTAGTATTCCATTGTATGAATATGCCATAAATTATGTATCCAGTTTACTGCTGATGGATAATTGAGTTGTCTTCCATTTATGAATAGAGCCACTATCAAGATTCTTTTATGTCACTGTTGGTGAACACACTGAAGAGTGGCATTGTTGGGTCTTAGGGTATAAGTAGTTGTCTTAGCTGTATTCCCACCAGCAAGGTATGGGAGTTTCAGGTACACATCTCCTTACCAGAATTTAGTATTGTCAGTACCCTTAATTTTAGCTTTTCTAGGGATATAGTGGTATCTTGTGATGGTTTTAATTTGCATTATATTTTTCTGAGGAGTAATGATGTTGGACACCTTTTCATAGACTTTTTGGCCATTTAGATAACCCCTTTTATAAAGCACAAGCCTTTTGCTTATTTTTCAATGGTATTAACTATTTTAAAAATAATCAATTTGTAGGAGTTTTTTTATATATTCTGGATACTAATTCTATGCTGGATTTTTGTAATGAAAATATCTTCTGGTCTGTGGTTCATATTGTTACTTTTTTATAATGTATTTTGGTAAACAGAAGCTCTCAATTTTAGTTCTGATTTTATTTTTCAGTATGTTCCATTTAAGAAACCTTTGCCAGGCCAGCCAAGTGGCGCGTTGGTTAAGAACTGGCTTGGGATGCCAGAGGGCCCTGGTTCGGATCCCACATATGAGGGCCAGTGACACTGCCCTGTACAGCTAAGATGCTGAACAACAGCTCGACCTGGAGCTGGGCTGCTGTGGGTCACCGGCGACGGCGTAGGCTGTAGTCCCTGCTGCAGTGGGCTGCCATAAGCTACCATGTGTAGCCGGCAGCCAGCGTGAGTGGCCAGCGTGAGCGGCCAGCAGCCTCTGTGAGCAGCCGTCCAGAGGCCGGTGACTGATCTGCCTCGCCCAGGAAGAGCACAATGATGGTGCCAGCTTGGGCCAGTGAAGCAACATCCTCCACAACTAGACTGAAGAATAAAACAACAGCAACTTCTCTGTTCCCCTTCCCCTGATTCCCTAGCACTGTTCCCCTCCCCCAATTCCCCAATAAAATCTTAAAAAAAAAAAAAAGAAACCTTTGCCTACCCTAAGTTCATAAAGATGTTCTCTTATATTTTTCTCTAGAAGTCTTAGTGTTTCACCTTTTATATTTAGGTATATGATCTATTACAAATTCATTTTGTAAGGAGGAGGGTCAAGTTTTTTTCTTATATAAGTATCTAATTGCTCCAGTATCATATATTGAAAAGATCATTGTTTCCCTTACTGAATGGCAGTGCTGCCTCTGTCATAAACAAAATGACTACATATGTGTGGATCATCTTCTGCAATTTAAAAAATTCTATTCCATTGGTCTATATCTCCATCCTATGTGAGTCCTACACTGTCTTTATTACTGTGGTTTTAGAGTAAGCCTTGAAATATGGTAGCCTTTTCACTTCGTTCTTCTACTTCAAAACTGTTATGGCTATTATAGTATTGCATTTCCATATTAATTTTAGAATCACACAACAATTTACACACACAATCAATGAAGTTTTGATTGATCTACAAAAGCAGTGAGTTAATAAATTAGTGTTATTTTAAGCCACTAAGTTTACAGTAATTGGTATGTAGCAAAAGAAAACTAAATATAGATTTTGGTACCAACAGTGGGCTGTTGCTATAACAAACTGGGTGTGGAAAGTAACTCCCAGTTCTGGTGATTTGGGAGCAATGCTGTTATAAATTGCATTTCTATATGCTAACGATATAAAGCTGAAATTAAAAACACAGAGTCATAAACAATCCAAAGAAAAGAAAAATTTTAGGTGTAAGCCCAAAGGCCCCAACATGGCAAGGAACTTGCATGTTACAGGATCTCACAGAATGTGGCCAGTGTGGGCAGACTCATGAGCAAAAGGAGCAAGGTACAGGAGGAGGCTTGAGTGAGGGCAGGTGCCAGATCTCATAGGGCAGGATGGGTCATAGTGGGGGAATTGGGTTTCATTCTAATTTTGGGGGGTGGGTGACAGAATTCAATTTACGTTATTTAAAAGATTACTTTGGCTAATGGAGCCACCACTGTGTGGCAGAGACTGCTAGCTATTTCCCATTATCCATCACTCCTTTTTGCATAGCAATGAAATTTCTCACTGGTCACGTGACCACCCAGCTAAAGATAACATTCCAGCCTCCTTGGTGGTGGTGGTGGTGGTGGTGGTGGGTGGGTGGGCAACTAGGGGGGAGACATATGTCAGGTTCTGGCCAGTGGAAAGTAAGTGGAAATGACACCTGCAGCTTCTGGGTCATGCTCTCTAAGGGAAGGTGCGGGCCTTCCCTTTCCACTTCTTTCTTGTGACTGGCTGGATGTGGACCTGTAGGTGGGATCTGCACCTAAAATGAAGCCACATGATGAGGATGGCAGAGCAATGGGTATAAATGGAGACCGATGAGGTGAGGCTGCCTCACCAGCCCAAGCTCACTTAGCTGGATGTTTCCATGGGTGAGTAATAAACGTCGATCTTGCTTAATCTTTATTAAACTGGGTCTTGTTATAGTGGGCACACTATATTTTAATTACAGGGGAGATGGCCCAGCGTACAGCAGGGGCTGAAGGATCTTCCCCCCACCCCCCACCTCAGGCATCTAAGTGAGACTAAATTTTTACTATGGCAGTTGCTGCCAGCATTATTCCTGTGAGCAAGTGGCCTGGAATTTGGTAGCCACTTGGTAAACTTTTCGTGAAGAGAATTAATGAATCACCTTTGTTAGCATTGCTGATCTAACCAGTTTATTGAAGAATCTCAATAATAAGTTTTATAGAAATATAAAATGGTCCTATTTCCCCGAGTAAGTCCTTTATGTATGCTCTGTGGACTCTTCCCTTCCCTTAAGAATATCTTGGACAATTTCCATGACCCTGAGATCTTGTACTTTCTGCTGGTGCAAACTCATTCCATTTAAAATCCCACTCTCATGCAAATGAAATGTCATTTTCTCCCCTCTTCTTGGTATGGCGTGGGCAGGGGCCCTGACTTCTTGAAGTGGAAGGGGAGGTACAGTCTGGCAGGGGGACCACCTCCCCTCTTCAAGTCCTTGCTTCTCCCATGTTGGTAGTGAAGAACAATGAGTGAGAGAGGCACACACTCTTTTATTTCACTTTATTTTTATTAACTTATCCAGCTGCCATTGCAGTCCCCTCTTGAACGGCCATCACCACACACTAATAGGTCCTGGTTATAGGGATTAGCCATACTGGATGAAACGGGTTCTTGTTTTTCTCCAGCTGCAGGTGTTGGATACAGTCCCTTGTTACTTGTGTAACCAGTGAGGTGCCTCACGTTGTATCCTGGAGGGGCTTGTCAATTTCCGAAGCTACTTATTCTGCCTCAGTAGTTAATCAAGGTAGGGCCCTTTCTGCTAACTCTTACTGGTCTCCGAGGGAGTGTCTGCTGCCCGATTATTAGTGGCCCTGTTTAAATAAGGAGGACTTAGTGACTCTTCAGCTTTGGTCCTAGTTGCCAATTCTGTGGTAACAAGGGAAGTCTTTATCAGCAGCTATTAAATCACTATTGCTATAGTTACTATCACTATCACAATCATGGACAATATCAGCTATATTATTATAATTATTAAAACTGTCACCATCAACATCATTACCATCCTCACTATTACCACAGCCGCATAACCACAGGCTATCCTCACAATGGTCACCACCATAAATATCATTACCTTTTCCAGCATCATTGTGATAATAGCTAGCTGCTCTAACAAATGCACTACAAAAGTGTGATGGCTGAAATACAAAATGAGAAGTTTATTTCTCATGTATGTAACTATTCAAAGCAGGTGTTCTTGGTTGGCAGGAGGCTTCCTTCCACACAATGATTTAGAACTTAGTCTCTATCATCTTTGAGTACCTCATTGTCATCTGCATGTAGCCAAAGGAAGGGATTAAGAGGTTGTGGGTGGGTTCTCTCTCTCTCCCTCCCTCTCCCCCACCCTCCCTCTCCCTCTCCCTCTCCCTCTCCCTCTCCTTCTCCTTCTCCTTCTTCTTCTTCTTCTTCTTCTTCTTTAACTTTATTGGGAAGCAGTGTGCTTTTCCCAGGACCCATCAGTTCCAAGTCAAGTTGTTGTCCTTCAATCTTAGTTGTGGAGGGCGCAGCTCAGCTCCAAGTCCAGTCACTGTTTTCAGTCTAGTTGCAGGGGGCACAGCCCACCATCCCATATGGGAGTCGAGCTGGCAACCTTGTTGTTAAGAGCATGTGCTCTAACCAACTAAGCCATTGGCCGCCCACTGGCAGCTCAGTGGCAGCTCAGCTAAACTATTTGTCTTCAATTTAGTTGTGGAGGGTGCAGCTCACTGGCCCATGTGGGAATTGAACTGGCAACGCTGTTGCTCAGAACTCATGCTTTAACCAACTGAGCCACACAGCCACCCCCATACCTGCTTCTTAAAGTCTTGGACTGGAGGTGCACACATTGTTTCTGCTCTCATTCCATTGGCTAGAAACAGTCACATGGCCATGAATAAATGGGAGGGCATCTGGAATGTATGGTGTAGCTGCAAAATGAAATAGGGTCTTTGATCAAGTGGTAGTCACCTCTGCCAGGCCACCCTCACAAGCGATTCAGTTTACCTGCTCTGTTCCCAGCCAGTGCTACATACACCCTCTCTGTCATACAGCACCTGGAGGCTATGAGGTTTCTATAATCAAAGGCCTTATGATCCAAGTAAATATCAATACAAAGCAACATATTGTGGATTCGATTATTATTTTGGATTGTTAGTATTGTAGTAGTTCAGAGTATGCATAGGTGTTCAAGTTGAATCTTGGAGAATGGGTAGATTTTCTTTGGCTGAGAAAAAGTGGAGTTTGAGGTGAGAAGGAGGATGCTTTTTGCGGAATGGCCTGGGCACAGATGCAAATGGGCTCAGCTTGAGCAGAGAGGAGACTGGCCTGCTGGAATGGGTGAGCACTGGGGAATGAGGATGAATAAGCTTTGAGCAACTGGATGGAGTCAGAATGCCAAAGGCATTCTGTACACTTTTTCAGACCTATTTAGACGTATATTAAAGATCTTTGGTTGCAAGCAACAGAAATGTACTCTATCTAAATAAAGCAAGCCAAAAAGCAAGAGAACAATATATATTGGAAGGATCATGGGTATTTTGCAGAAGCAAAGGGAGGACTGAAGGGCCAACTTCTAGGTTTTGGCAGCCAGTGGTGGTGGAACCTGGGGCACTGCCATTAACAACTCCCAACCTCTGTATTTGTTTTTTAAAATCCATATTCCAGGGAGAGAGCTTTCTATAGCCCCGCTGGGATCAGGTGTCTTCTGGATCACTCTGGCATGGGTGAGGGGCTCTTTTATTGCAGACAGTGCCCTCCCTTCACCCTGCCTCGGGAAGTGTGTCCTGTCGAAGACCCAGTGTGGGTGCCGTTAGAGTGGTAGAAAGAAAGGTGCTCACTTGCTTTGAAGGTAGTTATTCCTGTGTTCAAATCTCAGTTGTTCTACTGACTAGCTTTGTGACTAAGGCAGTCGAGTTGTCTAGCTTCTGAGCCTCAGTTTTTGCACTTATAAAATGGATATAAAAAGATGAAAACTGTCTGAGAACTTGAATTGAGAGAATGAA